ATGTTCAAATTTCACGTTTTTGTCGCAAAACAATACCATCCATGTGATCGAAAATTAGATCAGCGTGTTGTTTTCAACAGCGTAGTGTTCTACATACTTCGTAGAATAGTTGCATATCTTCCTTCAAGTCATTTTTTTTCCTTAGATTTACTCATGCAAAACTATTTTTATCAGAGTATACTGTCATAATGAAAAGTAATTAGTCTGAAAACAGCTAATAAAAGTGCAAATTTTACAAAATAATTCTTTAGAAGCGCAATTTCAAAAAGAAAAAAAAACAAACTAAAGATAATCATAACTTTGAAAATACACGTACCGTTCTAGCATCATAATCGTAGAGAGCTCTGTAAACCCGTACTCTTCCAGGTTTTGGTGCAGGCCTCGGAGGAGCTGCAGCAGCCATCGTCACACTGCCTTCCGCGCGCGAATTGTCGACTGACGTCACCGCGGCTGAATTGATCGATAAAAGTCACACCTTCCAAACGAAGATCACCAACACGGGTGAGTCATATCGCAATGTTTTTGAAATCTCGAAGCCCTCCCACACTGGGTGGATGATTAACTTCTTCATCGCGGAAAATAGATTTTTGATTTTGCAGAAATGGATAAAAAAGATGAAGAATCCGATGAAGACGAAGCATTTCTGCATTCTTCTATGGAAATTCTCGATGGAATATACAGGGGTGATGAGGTGCGTCATAATACTAATCTATCGAAGTTTCCAAATTGCAAAGAGTGAAAACGCTTCATTGTTTTTTTTTTCTGAAAGTGCGAAACGGGTCATCGCTACGCTATTTTTTCTTTATCGTGGCATATCAGTGATTTATCGTCAAAGTAGAAGGAAGAAGTGCAATGAAAAAAGCGAAGATGTGGCGATGTTGTGGGCACATATGATTTATCTGTGTGAACTAACGTCTTAAACCATTGATGAACGTTTGTCAGTGCGTTTTGTTGAAGTTTTCCATTCTGGTTGGTTGTAAGATGTATCATTGTTACTGATTTACCGCACTTGTGTGCCTTTAGAGGCAGCGGCTCGGCAGAATTTCATTTCCAGTTTTTCACCTTTTCGGGACCTTCTCGCCATGCGCGACCGATATCCGGACTTTTCCGCGCTTGAAAATGCCGAAAATGAGCCTCTTTCATTCCTTTTTAGGTCTGCATTCAATGCAAATACGCCGGAAGTCTTCTGCGCCCCGC